AAGGCTGTGGCAGGAGGCAAGGACAAAGACTGTTGTTATCAAGCTGGAGACCAGCACTGCCTGTAACCCAAACAGATAAAAGCTGATGTGGGGATAGGTGACATTGTTCCTCAAGGAGGTGTTTGTTGTTGCTCAGTCATCACATGGCTGGGGACATTTTCTCTTCAGAGCTTCTTGCTTTCCACCCATCTTACCTGGAAAGAGGTTGTGACAATTCACACAGCCCCAGGACACATTGCAGTAACAAGTTTGACAAGATTTTACTCCTCCAGACCCACCTAGAACTAATAATTTTAGTTCATTGGTTTTCAAAAAAAAAAAAAAAAAAAGTATAGCTTGAAATCAAACTCCCAAAGAGTTAAACATGTAACGAAGAAGCATCATAATCTTCTATGTAACTTGAAAGTTACCTTGGATAAAAGTGGAATTTTTAGGTCAAACAATAATATATTTTTCAGAGCATCCTGAACAGGAAACAGCAATACAGGAAGCTCATAGAGGAAGTACAGGGTAAGTGGAGAAAAGGAAAATCAAGAAATGGCCATCAAGATGACTCTGTGAATAAAGGAGCTTGCTACACATACCTTAAGACCTGAGTTCAATTCCCAGAACCCAGGTAAAGGTGGAAGGAAAGAATAATTCCACAGAGTTGGTCACATGTATGCCATGGCCATGTGTCCACACTTAGACATCATGTGCACACGCATATACAATAATAATAAATGAATAAAAAAAGAGAAACCGAAGAGGGCTAGGTCACAAAAAACAAAACAAAACAAATAAACAAACAAACAAAAAAAAACAAAGAGGGCTAGGTCACAAAAAAAAACAAACAAACAAAAAACAAAACCCAAAGAGGGCTAGATCACACACACACACAAAAAAAAAACCCAAACAAACAAACAAAAAAAAAAAAAACAAAGAGGGCTAGGTATGTACCTAGTTGGCAGAGGTCTTGCCTACTAGCATGGATGAGTCTCTGGGTTTACTCCCCAGCATGAAATATTATAGACTATCTTGGTACAGATCTATAATCCCAGCAGTTGGAAGGTTCAAGGTCATCCTTTAAAACATACGGAGTTACAAATGAATGTGTCACTGTCTCAGAAGGGGGAGGGGGATGACAATGATGAGTCACTGTCTCAGAAGGGGGGGGTGACAATGAAGAGCAATGGTGTGCACAAGCATGGGGATGTGGGGAAGGGGAGGTGAAGGAAGACAAGATTGGAAGCTCTCCTCTCAGAAATTGCGGCATGGGCCTCACTCAGCAGATGACTGAAGAAATCTGCCTCTGTTCCAGAGATTTGCCGATTATACTCATATAGGGTTGGGTATCTTCTAAATTTTCTGGCTGTGGCATCCATTTAGTAAAATAAAATAAAATAAAATAAAATAAAATAATAAATAAATAAATATAATGAATAAAATAATGAAAGCTGTTTGCTGAACAACTTAAGGAATTGCTTCAGTGCTGATGATAAAATGTCATCACGAGTGGTCTAATGACACCAGTTTCTCTGTCTTGAGAATACAACCTCAGAATGGTGGCATCTGTCTAACTTTGTCTTACCCATCTTCAAAATAAGCCATGGAAAACACTCAGCAATTCCCAGTGACCTTGGGTTCATTTCTTCCATTTTCTGACAACGCAGCATCTTATAGAGAGCAAGCCATTCTAATCAAAATGATGGTAGTGCTGTCTCAATCTGAATATGTGACCCTTGGAGACAAAACTGGATATGGGCCCCTGTTACCAACATTTTTTTTTTGTTTGTTTGTTTGTTTTTTTTTTTGTTTTTTTGAGACAGGGTTTCTCTGTGTAGCTTTGCGCCTTTCCTGGAACTCACTTGGTAGCCCAGGCTGGCCTCGAACTCACAGAGATCCGCCTGGCTCTGCCTCCCGAGTGCTGGGACTAAAGGCGTGTGCCACCACCGCCCAGCTGTTACCAACATTTTAATTCAGGTGAAAAATCAAGCATTGTGGCACTCTGTGGGCAACCTAAAGACTTAAAGAAAATCAGTCTCAAGGTGGTCTGTGGAGGAGAGGGAAGGCAGATGAGGGAATGGTAACAGACTGGAGTTAATGAAAAAGGTCTCAGACAACTAAATGCCCTTCCTTGTCTTTCACCCAACTCAACTCCCTGTGATATGAGATTTTATCTTTTAAACTTGTAGGTGAACCACACCCACCATTCTGTGAAACTGTTTTAGTACCATAGGGTAAGGAGCTGAAACAGATAAGGGTCTTTGATTAACACTTAGTGAACAAAATGCATCCTAGGTTTGGGGATTAAAATGCTAGTTGGTCTTTGTTTTAGATGACTCTGGAGATGTCTCTGTATCTCTGATGCATATGAAAAAACATAATCCCCTCTTCTCCTCTTTGGCGAAGACTTATACAGAAAAGCCTGCCAGTGAAAAGTCTGTTTGCAGTGGTAATGTGCTTGCGTGAACATTTTGGGAAATATTTGCTTATTCCTCACAACAAATATTTGGCACAGTCACTAAGTCTAAAATAGTAGCTAAAACCGGCATGGAGGTATTGCAGAGGCAAGCCGTAAATAACGCATTTCAATGCAATGAAGCATCGAGCAATAGAGTTTATCCTGGAAGTGTAAAAAGCACCTCCACTCCCCCAGTGTTCTCAAGAGAAGAGACAGAAATATAGAATCGTCAAGATGGTATGTAATTAAACGTAAACATGCACCATGCCAAATACACTCTTGTTTTAAGCCCTGAAGGAAGATTTCTTTGTATCAAAGCTCTGCTAGGAAAAGTAACTTTTCTTTGCCTTGTTTAGAAAGCTTTATGCTGTAGTGGGATAAGAACGTGGCTCAACACTAATCTGGCAGTCAGAGGGCTGCATATATCTCATCTTTACTCAGACCTCTGTTTGAGCTCCAATTCCTCCACACATTAATTTTGTGACTTTGGGATAAGTTTCTTTTTAACCCCAGTGAGCATCCCATTCTAAATGAAGACAATGGCATGATGCAATTGACTTACTTCAAAGCCTCAGTAAACTGGGAATACCAACAGGGAATGACTGTCGGTTTTGTGTGGTTGTTACTTCTAGAAATACTTGGAGGGAAAAAAAAAATCTACTTTTCTCATTCAAGAGCTAAAGCCTTCATAATGTTTTGTCTTTGTGTTTAAATCACCGAGGGACTAGGAATCCTCTTTTCCCTTTATGCTCAGATACAGTGAAGCTTGAACAAGCAAAATAATTGGGCTGCTTAGTTCTGAAGAGTTGGCTTTAGAAATAACTAACTAGTGAAGATTTGTTGTAGAAAATAAGTTGATCAACCAAACAACTAACTGATTGGCTGGCAACTTGGTCAAAGGATCTAATTGAAGACCTTAGCCTTGATTTGTACTTATCCCATGCTATCATGCATAGCCTAATCTCACTTACTGACTCTACCTCTGTCTTGCAATGTCTAGTCTGAAGTCACCACCCTCTGCTCCACTCCCTTTCCAAATTTCCCCACTTTGAGACCCTGCTGAAACTCTGTTATAGTAGTTCTCTTTCAGTAGATCTAAGAAACAACTCTTGGCTTGACCAGTCAATATCTCGGAGTTTAAAGAGAATTAATACTCAATAAATCCCTTAACCACATCTTCAATGTGTGTTGTCCTATTCTAGACACTGAAATTACAGCATATATGTCCTTGTGGGTTACAGAATTCTGTTTATATCTTCCTCAACACACTCACCCAACCTTAGCTCATCATGGACATGTGGTTCAAGTGACTTGGAATGGGAGAAGCAACCGAGTTTTCTTATATAGGGGTGAAACAAGAGAAGCCTGTTGTTTGAGACACTCCTATCTCTTTGGAAAACTTACTAACATTCAGGAGAAAGAAGCTGCACCCAAGCCTCTTTGGTAACAGTGTGAGGGGTTTTTCATTACATTGCTGCTGCTCTAGCTGGCTGACTATGTTCTCATCCCCAACAATGTGTGGTCCTCTTGTCATTGGTGGATGTAACTCTCAGCAGGTATCATTGGCATCAGTGATGCCTGACTCCTAGAGATGCAGCTTCCCCATCAGTCTGCTGGGGTTCAAAACCCTTCCTTGGTGTAGTATTGTCATGTTCTGTTTCCTCTTATAAACCACACTCACTTCTATATGGAGTCTCAAGAACCACTGAGGAGAGCATCATAGCATTGTAGTGGGAATGAGAAGCACTACTAAAATTGGAAGCCCATGTTAAGTAACTGGTCATTTTCATTCTTCCTCTTACAGGTAATATACTGTGTGGATAATATTACCTTTGTAATAAGAATTATAATAACAGGCTGTTACATAGTATACTATTTTTAAATATATAAGAAAGTTCAGCAAAATCATATAATTTATTCTTTTATTTTGGCAGTGCTATGGATTAAGTCCAGGGTGTTATACATGGTAGGCAAGTGCTTTACCTCAGAACTATAACCAAGCCTACATTTATACATTAAAACAAAAACCTAACCAATTGTGAATTCATTAAATAACAAAGTAATATAATTTATCATCACATCTTTCAAAGTTCTAGTCAAGACCAATAAGGAATGAAATGTTTCAACCAGAGATCACTTTGTGTTGACATTTTTGTTGTTGTTGCATCTTAGCGGGTTTTAATTTAGTGCCTAAAAAGTAGATGCTTAGCCATTGATCTGGTTAGACACTATTTAAGGTGTGAAGTTTATATATGCCAGCACAAATGGGGGTTATTTCTCTTAACACTTTCTATGACACTTCTTAAAGACCATTGTCATACTGGGAGGGATCCAAAAGGCAGAGTGAAAAATATTTATAGCATATGGGTATAATGAAAAAATATAATTATGAACCAGCAATACACTAAACTGGTAAGACACAGTTTACATTAGATCATAAGAATGAATATCAAAAATACAGGCTATATTTTTGAAAAAAAAAACAACCATCAGTAAAAAATTTATTTATAATACAAACCAGATACTCCAAAATAATTTGTGGTTTACTTAATTCTTACCGTTCATCCTATATTCTTTTGAATAAGCTGAAGGAAGGCACCCGAGTAACTACTTCAGCTGGTTTTGATTTTGATTCTGGAGTTTCCAGCAAGATGAAAACTCCAGTCTATATAACAAAAAGAGATGGCATGTAGTTTTTAGAAATTTAGATTCCCCACTCAATACCGCTACTTATTAAAAAGAAATGTATTACAATAAATTTCTATATTCCAGAATTATCTTATTATTTCTGGGCAAACAATAATTGCACAGAAATTCCAAGTAGAGGATGATCACGTTGCCCCTTACATGTTCAGCAGTGTCTACTCACAGAAAATCATTACAGTAACAAAACCAGCTGCATGTAATAGAAAGTAAATGATTTACAAGGTTACTATGAGAAACTACTTTATTTCATATTATCATAAAAAGAACAGAACTGAGTATTTGCATGACAAATGGAAAAATCCAGAAATTCCAAATACAACTTGGCTTTTTCCCCCCAAAAGTTAAATAGATACTAAGGCTGGAAGGTGATCTAAAGAGCCTACTTCACTAGAGAACATTAACATTTAGAATTTGCAAAGTTATCATTTGCCCAGTAGTTGAAAGAAGGAACACTACCGACAGGAATCAAAATACTTGGAATAAAGCGTGTTCCTGTTGTAAACGTTGACGATGTTAAGAACGTAGCATTAGTCTGAACTTTATTTCATTTGGGCAGAGAAGTAGAATGCATTTTTGTTCAGAAATGAAGCTTGACCCTGAAATTTGAACCACACCAAAACCCTTAGATGTCTGTGTTTTAATGTGTTTTATATATTTATCAATCAAAGCATCTGCCTGCCAACAGTGCAGCTCAAGAGAACCGGTCCCCTTACATCCTGACTCGGCTAGGAAACCAATGCCTTCATTAACTCAGAGCCCCAGTTCTCTCCCTCCACACAGACACAGCCAAGGGTTGTGGAATCAGAGCAACTAGGATGGCCTGCCCCAGGAAAAAGAGCTGGATTCATGAAACTCCTTCTCGGCCATGGGTGAAAGCTAAAAGCCAAAAGTCAGTGCTGCAGAAGTCCTGACAGAGCTAATAACGATAGACATGAGGCACAGGTCAGGAAAAGCAGAGAACTCTGAAACAAAGTGGAGGTGCCAGGAGATGAGCCTGAGCCTCATCAGTGTGGGTCATCCATGCCAGCCATGAGCTGCTGCTGCTAAGACCCCCATGCTCCAGATCAGGTCTCCAAAATGTGTAGCTTAGGATTGCAATTTGGCTTAAGCAACCATGAAATTTCTTGTGTCTGATTTTGCTTCACTTATATCAATATAATAAAACCATTCTAAACAAATTAGTTGCTATAATTCTCTGGTTCCTGCAGCTAAAGAACCTCTAATTATATACATATGTGCTAATTATACATAGCCTATACAAAACATAACAATAGATTATTGTGTAATTAAACATAATAAATTCATGAATTATAACAGTAGCTTACTATGGGATATTTATAAAATTGTAATGATATAGTAAACATGTAGAAATTACATATAGCATGTATGTTTTATATTATACACTATGTTTATAAAATTAGAGGTTCTTATATATGTCACTAGATCAGAGAAAGATCCCAGGACACAAACTTTTATGACTGAAAGGCAGAATTAGAGTCTGTTTAGAAGCTGCCAATGTTAGCATTCTCTTTTGCCCTCATTCTTTCTTAGAGATGCAACAAATTTAAGATACCCAATGAGTTTAATGGTGGGCACACTGGATGAATATGGAACATATTTAAAGCATAATTGAAAGAGTACATAAATGAGTGCACTGAAGCAGCTTTGGTTTCTGCCTTCATTACTTTGCACCATCTGTCACAATAACACTACACAGCAATACACCATATATTACACCAGAGAGGGCTGACACTGAACCTTGGGCTTCTTCTGTGGTGTCTATTTTGCCAATATAAACATCAATTTTGTCAATTGAAGAAAAGTATCAAGTGAGGCTGACTGGCTCAAGAAAGATGAGGACCAAATATTGGTGTTGGTGATGTGTAGATGTAGGATGAAGACAAAAATCTGATTGGGGCATGTTCAAGAGAGAATGGGGGAGACGAGCAAAAGTGTGGACAAGTCTGTCAAGAGATTTGCCATTTGTTCTTAAGAGAAGTAGCTATGGAGGATGGGGGAAGGGGCATGAGAGAGAGGAGAGAGAGAGAGAGAGAGAGAGAGAGAGAGAGAGAGAGAGAGAGAGAACAATACTGGGTATGTTTTTCTGAATGCCGTTCCTTATTTTGTTTTTGTTTTTGTTTTTTTGTTTTTTGAGACAGTTTCACACTGGTTTGTAACTATCCAGGGAAGACAAGCTGGCCAGGAAGCCCTGGGGATCCACATGGACCTGTCTCCACCTCTCTAGTACTGAAATCACAAGTGACTGCCACTATGTCTGGCTTCTTTTGTTTGTTTAATGTGGGCTCTGGGGACTGAACTCAGATCTTCATGTTTTACTGACAGAGCTTTCTCTCCATCCTCTTTCTTAAAAAAAAAAAAATCTAAGTATTAGAGACTGTATTTGTTTCGATGAGTTTGATCCAGTAGAGAAGTAAACCCTTGAAGATGTGGGAAGGAGAAAGAATAACTTCAGTTGGCAGCAGCTGAGGAGGAAGGGTGAGCCCCATGGCCTGCATGCATAAGCTGTCTTCAGAGGGGGACACAGGCAGATGAGTGCTAGGGTTCCTTCAGGAAATATTTTGCTATCACTGGAACCCAGAAGCGGCATTAATTTTGCAAGGGTCCTCACTAAAACATTAGTTCTAACCACAGTTCTAATCCGAGAGCCTAGATACTTTTCTGTTATGTTGGTGGAATTCCACTCAATTCACATGCAATTAGTTCTCAGGACAAGGTCACTAGCGTTATCACTTCAAGTTTTGAGTATTTGTAATATTTAGTCCTGACTTAGGACCAGGAGCAGGCAGAACAGGAGACCCACCCCCACCTCATGGTAACACAGAAAGCTCCTCAGGTTCCTGGGCTCTGGCTATCATTCTACTTTGCTTATTATGTGATATCTCTGGAGCCAGCAATTCAGGCTTGGGTCACACAATCGGGTGCTAGGTAGGAAATGTGTGGCTGTTGTCCTACGTGGTGCCAGCGTAATTTCTACCTTGATCCCGTTTCTCCTCCTACCAAGATCAATCCAGAAAATGCCAAATCGGATACATCCAATTATTCAGGATTTAAACCACAAATAATAGTACAAATGTAGTTTCAAGCAACTTTCCTCTTCCTTATCCTCTCTGGAACAGAAACTAAGGTCTATGTCAAGGCTGCAGCTGAGGCAGGTAAAAGCCTACACAGTGTCGGCCACTGTCGTCTGCCAGCACCTGTCCCTACTGTTATCCTGTTAAAAGAAGCATCAGGCAGAAGGAATCTCATCACAGTCAGCTTCTGATCCTTGTTTTGTATCCTTTGAATCTTTCTGATCCCAGCCTGAAGGGTCCTGTATGCCCATCTGTGGGGCTCCCTGCAAGTGTCATGGCCAGCAGTGAACTGATCCACAAAAAGGCAAGAAGGAAAACTCAGTTCAGCCCGATTTATTCAGTGTTGGATCAAACTTCAGGAATCTGTTGCCAAGTGGTTTATTGCCAGCATTTATAAACAGCACAATTTTGAAAAAAAAAAAAAGTTACCTGGTGTAATGCAATCCCTGGTGCACAGAGAGGCATTGTTATATTAAAACAACTCAAAATACATGTCATTTATTATAAGAATATGGGTGCTAGAGATAGGCTATCTGTGTTAGCTTAAGGACCTAGTGAAGGAACTAGCAAGAACTTGGTCATACAGATAGGATAGAGGTCTATTTTTAGCCACCTCTGGTCCTGTTGTGGGAACTTGGGGGAGCCCATGACTATACAGACAATGTAAATGCCATTTAAAATACTACTAGCCACCTCTAGCCCTGGTTGTGGGACCTTAATATGGTCTGGCCCTACAGGTAATGCCAATGGCCAAGCTGTTAATCACCTCTAATTCCCAGCCTTCTGGATGGGAAAACAGGTTGTCTGTCCTTTCCTTGGAAAGGATAATCCTGAATGCTTAGCATTCCTGGTTCCCCTAGTGAGCTGTGGGTACAAGGACCTTCTGTTCCCAACACCCATCAGCCCCCTCTTCATCACTTCCACAGCTTTGGGGGAGATGAGCTATTCAGAGGATCTCTAGTGAGTCTTTCATAGGAGGCTCAGCAGGAGGCCTCAGACCTCTGCTCAGAGGCCCCCTTGTCTTTAACCTTCTCCACCAATACTGTGGCTGCTTCAAGCAAACATGGTGCTTGGGATTGGGGGGCTCCCAGACCTGATTTGCTTTCGAAGTCCCTTCTGAGAAGCAAGATACAGTGAACTTCGTTTTGATGCCCACATTCATCTGGCTCATCATCAATTGGCATATAGATATACTGATCTTCTTTATCAGTCTACTCTTTACCCTGCAGAGGAATCTTGGTCTAACCTGCCTCTTTAATTGATTGCATTCTCTGCCTCACCCCCAGACTGGATCTTACATAGAAGTCCAGGCTAACCTTGAACTCACTCACTATGTAGCCCAGACTGAACTAAATTTGTGGCAGTCCTTTTGCCTTGGCTTTCACATTATTTATTGCATAAATTTTGGCCATTACCTCTTTTCTTACTGTCTACTTTGAAATAGGAAAGTGAGAACTGACTCTTTTGTCCACATTGCCTTTCCTTATCTGTGGCTCTAAGCAGAGCTCACCTTGCACTTGCCTGAAACCAGAAGGTCACAAAACACTGCCAATTACTAGGAATGAGAAAGGCATAAACGGCATAAGCTGTTATCAAGTCATTATCAACCTTATAACTGCATGAGCTTGTTAAGGCATGCATTTCCAAGAAGGCACTGGGTTTGCCCTCCTAGAATAAATTTAAATTTGGCCTTCATTTTGTAGTGTTTTCTTTGGTTTTGCAACAGACATCAGTTTCAGCCCATCACAAGAATTTATCTACATAGCTACCGAGTTATTTTTTTTTTCTGTAAGTGCCTTTCCTTATAAAATTGAGTGGGCTTTGATATAGTTTGAATGATTTCAAACTAGAATTTTCTTGCTTTTTAAATCTGTTCAACTCGTGTCATTTTAGGCAAACATTGACACTCGAGGAAAATGTGTGAATACTAATGCATACATATTTAATAGATACAAACCTGAAACCATGATAAAATTTCATAGCTAATAAATTCTTTCTGTTTATAAAAGACTTTCCCATCCGGCACTGTTCTCTGTTCTGCAACAAATGTTTAATGTTGATTGAGGTGGTGGGTCTGCTTTGATCTCCTGAACGAAACCCAACGTTTTTCCACAGAAGACAGTCAATTAGCATTTCATCTTTTTGTCATGGAGGCAGAAGGGGTTAGTGAAGGCCTGGGTGTTTCTTGTTCCATGGATAATGTCCATTAATACCCTTCAGTCTCTCTGCCACTTATGGATGCCAAACATCACAGCACAGATTTCTGCTTTCTGGAGTATACCATGGGCTACAAATCAATCGCTTATCTTTGCTTGTCTCTGTGCTCTCACTAAAGCAGAGGTAGGCCCTGGCATCCTGTCAAGGATGCTCAGGTAATGTTTACAGTCAATTGAGGTATAAGAGTTGTTGAAGAGATACGGAGGACCTGCTTTCCAAGCATCCTGTCTCATCTTGAACAACACTGAAGACAATCTTGTGTTTAATTTTGCCTATCCAGACGGTCTATGATCCTTCTGATTGCTACAAAAGGATTGTAGTTGAAGCTTACAATGGTAGGTGCTCTGAAAGTGCGCTTACCCAGCACGTGTAAAAAGATAAGCACACGCTGCTAAGCTAAAATATGTTTGTCGTCAATCACTCAAAAGGAGTAAGTCATTGTTCAGTTCAGTTGAAAACTGCTTCAGGAGTGATGGTTTGAAATCTGACCCCAGGACAAAAAAATCTTGACCAATCCCTCAAAATAGCTTCTCCACCAGGCTTTATATAAAACCATAAAATATAAGAAATAAGACAAAATATAATAAATACTTTTAAATATTCAGTAAATAGACCTGTAGGATGGGAAACAAAGGCATCACATTTTTTTGAGAGTAGCCTGCCAATTAAATGGTCTCCAAATTAACCCATATTCTAGAAATACTACGCAGATCATAAAAAAAACTCCTGTTTAAGAAATTATTTTTTAAAACGAAGAACAATGAACCAGTCTTTTCAAGTTTTATTTACTTTTTTGTGTGTATGGTGTGTGTGTGTGTGTGTGTGTGTGTGTGTGTGTGTGTGTGTGTGTGTGTATGTGTACATTTATGTGGGGTACATGTATGTGGAGGCCAGAAGACAACTTTATGGAGTTTGTTCTCTCTTTCTACCTTTAGTAGGTTCCAGGGATTGAACTCAGCTCCAGGCTTGCACAGCAACTACTTTACTCATGAGCCACCTTGTCAGCAAGGGTGATGAGTTAAAAGTCTGATATTAATCTTTCAGTAATAATCAAGATTCCAAACATTGCTAAGAACAATAATTCTTACTCAGTAAGTAGGACTTCGAGAATTCTGCATTTAGAAGGGGCTATTGAGGCTCCGGTGAATGATGGTTTGCCAGGTCTACAGCTGGTGGCTTTGTAGAACCAGGAGTACAACTCAGGCCTTCTAATTTGTGCATCTAGGGGCCTTTCTCATCGTCACCCACAAGCTTCATTGTTGTTAGAAAAGAGATATTGGGGCAAATGTGATATCACAATGGAAAAGGTGTCTGTCAGCAAGTCAGACAATCTAATTCATTCCCTGGGACCCACATTGTGGAAGGAGAGAATCAACTCCTGCAAGTTGTCCTCTGGCCTACACGTGTGTGTTGTGGCATGTTCCCCCCAAAACAACTAGCTATCTAAATAACTAAATAAATATAATTTTATTATTATTATTATTATTATTATTATTATTATTATTATTATCATTCGTTTTTCGAGACAGGGTTTCTCTGTGTAGTTTTGGTGCCTGTCCTGGAATTCACTCTGTAGCCCAGGCTGGCCTTGAACTTACAGAGATCCACCTGCCTCTGTCTCCTGAGTGCTGGGATTAAAGATGTGCGCCACCACCACCTGGCAAATACAATTTTTAAAAAGAGGTATTATTACAAAAAAATCCCTCTCTCTGCACAGTCCATAAGGAGTCAAGTTGTACATCTACAACCCATTGTTTATGATAGCTGAAAAATTGGAAACAATTTAAATGTTCTTTGGAAGTACAAAAGATCAAATGGGGTTTTTTTCATCTTATCCAACACCATATAGCAGTTGATGTAAATACATTCCTAGTCTATGAATTCATATGCATCCATTTTGTTGAGGGAACAAAGGTTGTCCAACATAATATTTTGAGACCATAAACAAGAAATGGAAAATCTTCTTCATGAAACGTCCTCATGTGCAAATGTGTACTTGGCTCCACAAATTCTTACCCTCCCCAGCATGTCTTCACAGTTCAAAGAAGCTGCCGATAATAGAAGTTACATTGATGACTACAAGAAAAAGTTCAAGACTTTTCAAGGCCACTTGCCCTATATGTAATTTCTTCCAAATCTTGAGCTGTTGGTGTCAATTTTGTTATGCAGGGCCAATTAGCGAGAGTTACATTTGCTTCCTTTTTCTGATCATTAATTGATTTCATTTGGGAGAAAGAATACACAGGACATCTTGAACATATACAGACATACATATTTACATATATATGCCTTCCAAATTAGAGGATCCATGATTAATAAGTTACATAAAAAGGAAATCTGTTTTAGTGTATTTTCTGCACCCAATTAGGTAATTAAAACGCAATTGGCTTCTTTGTGCTACAGTTGGACTAGTTGGAATTATGACTCTGAGGGATGCCCTGGTGTTTGCTAGGACAGACACTGATTTTACAGATGGCTCAAAGAAGGAAATTACACAGCCAGCAACAGGCAAATGTGGGATTCAGACCCAGGCTTCTGGCTCGGGCTTTGCACATTGCATAGAACATTACTTCTCATGTATCACAGACTGAGACCTCACAACCCCACAAGACCGATTAATCAGTCCAGTGATGAAAATGAAACAGAACAACCTCCTAAACCCTCAATACTACTTCCTTGCTGTTAGACTTCAATTTGCTGAATAATTTCTTACTTAAAATTTGTGTATCGTGTGTGTGTGTGTGTGTGTGTGTGTGTGTGTGTGTGTGTGTGTGTGTGAAGTTTGAAGACTTTAATAATACCTTGGAAAAGCTTCTTGCTTCCCCTTGGCTACTGCATCTCCATCTGGAAAACAATTAACACACCCATTACATAATGCATGCTGAAGCATTAACACACTGGACCCAGTGGGCTGTTTAAACACTGAGGATTCATCATTGTACTACAGGAGATCAGCAAGATGTGAGTTTAGAGATGCTGATGTTCAGTGGGAAAATCTTTCATAATGCTTGGAATGAACTACCTTGTGAAAATGACCTTAGAGGCACAGTACCTGCTAACTATTTTCATCTGTGAAATCTTCTCCCAGTGGTGTGTGTGTGGTGGATAGTGGTGAACAATATAAAATTAGAATTCTCAACATATCCCTTCTATAAAATATGTCCTTTACCTCAAGCCCTTGTTTGTGGAATTGTACTAAAGATTTTTGGACATGTCATTAGTAAGAATTAAAAAAAAAAAAGAAAAAAGAAGTAGCTGTCTTCAATTAGGGGGTTGTCCATATTCATTCATATGGTCTATCTTTAAAAATAACTATAAATACATACATCTTAAAAGTAGTAAAATGATTTTTAAAACGTAGAAAGAAACCAGAACACGTTAGTAGATCACTTTGATCTCAGTTCTTATATAAATACTATTATTTTTCCATATGAGTCAACCATATACTTGGCTCAGCTGATGTATTTTTATATTCTGAATGTAGTGAGGCAATAAAAAAAAGAATTACTCTAGGAAATTACTTCCTTTTTATAATGCAATTCTGGACTTTCTTTGGCTCTTATGGTTTGTGTGTTTGCTTTCCCAGTCAGCAAAAAGATGCTATTTTCTTATTCTGACTTGAAACTACTATGTCATGATTTCTGATTTTGATAGATAATATATTAAACAATTTTGGCTCTGGCTAGGTTTTGAGAAAACTCAGCTTTAGGTGAGATGGAAGAGAGGATAATGATCTCAGTGGTCCAGCTCTTGCCTTTAGGGCAGTCTCTGTGTTGTGTTGTTATTGTGTCTGTTATTGTGTTGCTGTGAACTACTGCAGCCAACTTCTACCCTAGAGATGGCTGTCTTTCAACAATGAGTGAAATGATACTTGTAAACAAGTTTATAATCATTAATAAAGCTTACTGAACATTTAAGCTCTTTAAAAACACACATCCATTATTATAATTGCCTATTATTTAATTACAACCTATAATAGAAATGTGAATCCTTTAAAGTATAGTTTATAACACTTCTAAAGTTAAATTGGATTTTATGATGCTTATTTTGTTTTTCTGCAAGTTTCAGGTGTCAAATTATTTCTCTCTAGAGATGCTGATGAAATTCCACCACTGACTGCTCCAATGTACTCTTTTCAAATCCCTGAGAATATTTTTCTTTAAACTTGACAACTGCCCACTCTGGGATCCAGATGCTATGCATGCAGTGTGATGATTTTGTTCTGCTTTGCACACATGGCCTTTTCAAACACTGTCTCCCAGGGCTGAAAACTTTGCCTGTACAACAGAAGTTTTAAACCTTGCCCGAAAATAATAAACACAATACCTTATAATTTGTGGCCATTTTAAGTTGGAAAAAGCACATTCCCATCTATCAAATTGTTTTATTCTCAAAATTAGTCCTGTAAGGGAAGAAAAGGCATTTAGTCAGTCAATAGATTGGCTAGCATGCCTACTTAATGCTTAGTTCCCTGAAGGCCTTTAGGGATGTCCATGCTTTTGACATTGCTACAAGATGCTGTTATCTGTATACAAAGTTCTCCCTGGAGAACAGCACAATGAAGTTAAATAATCACATAACGTGTAGGTAAGTTTATAATGCGTTCGGTCTCATTCATAGCTATTGGCCGCAGGCTGGACATGCTGCCAGGTAGTCCAAAGAATTTAAGAATTTTCCTAGGAAGACATGGGTGGAAAAGTCAACAGAGGTAGTACATAAGTGTCTTCTGAGATAGAAAAATAGAGCAGGGAAGGGAGACAAAGAGCACATTTCACAGTGCTGGCAGGAAAGTGCCACTTATGATCCCACAGTAGTCCTACCAATGAAGCAAGGTCTTGGTCTCCAGGAGCACTCAAGAGGGCTCAAAGAACGCTTTGGACACCATACTCACAACTTAGGTTGGAGACCTGGTAGAGACCCCAAACTGTGAAAAAGTGGGACTTGGGAAAAGAAAATGACTTGACTAGTTCACAGAGAATGAAGGCAGCAGTCACGGGGCCCAGAACCGCGTCTGTGATCTTTATTGAGCAATGCTAGCTTTGGAAACTATCTGCGTCCTTCGCTTTTGGTCTGTGCTCAGGAGGTCCCTCTAGTCAGTTGGAAGTTTCCTCTTCAAGACGGATGGAGAACGGTTGGATGAAGTGTGTATCTGTCACTGAAGAAGAGCTATGTGCTCCACCACCATTTAAGGCCACCAGGGCCTGGCCAGGCACAGAGAATGCATCTGGGATAGATTCCTGCCTTCCAAGATGGAAACGGGTTCTCTCCCGGGTGCAGGCGTTGTGCGGGGCCCAGTGCCGCCTCCCAGAATCCTCCTGTCGGCCTCTGCGGGCTCACACACCCCGCGCCCAGCAACCGCCGGGCCTGAACCACAGCGCCCACAGACCAGCGCGCGCGTCCCAGCCTCCGCGTCCCGCGCACGGCCCCGCGTCGTCACGGCAACTAGGGAGGCGCTAACCCCCAACCCCGCCCGGCCCCGCCCCTCGCGCTGCCGGGCTCAACATGGAGACCGCCAACCCGGAAGTGGCGCGGCCGCT